GCCATAAAAAGGAACAAAATCACGTCTTTCGTAGCAACATGGATACAGTTGGAGGACATTATTCTAAGTGAATCAATGTAGGAACAGAAAACCAAAAACTGTATGTTCTCACTTACAAGTGGGAGCTTAAACAATGGGTACTCATCAATATGAAGATGGCAACGGACACTGGAGACTCCAAGTCAAGGGAGGGAGGACGAGGGGCAGGGGCTGAAAAACGTCCTAGTGGGTACTACGTTCATTATCGAGGTGACAGGATCAACAGAAGCCCAAACTTCAGCAACATGCAATTACCCTGGTAACAAACCTGCATATGTGCCCCCAAATCTAAAACTAAAATTAACCAAAAATATTAAGCTTTTTTGAAAATGAGAGGATAGATTCCACCTTAGGAGCTGTGCTTGTTAAATTGAGTAATGTACAATATGGTTTACCACTTGCTTTTCTTTTATGCAGAATATACCATTTGACAGCAAAACTAATATCCAGTAATGGAAATCAGAGCACAGCGGTGGACTTTGGAGAGTGGGTGACTGGAAAGAGGCACCAGGGAAATCTTAGGAGGTGACAGACATGTTCTATTGTTTGGGGTGTGAGCTACACGGATTACTATTTGTTAAAGCTCATCTGACTGAAAATCTGTGCATTGCAATTTGTAAACTTTACCTCATTTAAAAAGTATTTGAAAATCAGTGATTTGCAGGTCTGTGACTCTATCACTTCATTTTTTAACAGGTAGCACAAGTATTTACGTATATGTTACCAGAGGTATAAAATTTTCTAAGAACTTAACTTGTCGGCCAACTGTGGTGGCTCATGCCTGTAACCCCAACAATTTGAGAAGCCAAGGCAGGGGGATTGCTTGAGCCCAGTAGTTTGAGACCATCCTGGGCAAAACAGTGACACTCCATTGCCACAATAAATAAAAAATTATTTGGGAGGCCAAGGGGGGTAGATTGCTTGAGCTCAAGAGTTCAAGGCCAGCCTGGGCAACATGGCAAAACCCCATCTCTACCAAAAACACAATAAATTAGCCAGCTGTGATGGCACGTGCCTGTGGTCCCAGCTACTTGGGAGGATGAAGCAGGAGGATCTCTTGAACCCAGGTGGAGGCTTCAGTGAGCCGAGATGATGCCACTGCACAGGCTGGGTGAGACCCCATCTCAAAAAATAAAATAAATAAAAAATTAGCCAGATGTGGTGGCATGTACCTGTTGTCCCAGCTACTCGGGAAGCTGAGGTGGGAGAATTACTGAGCCCAAGACGTTGGGGCTACACAGAACAGTGATGACGTCACTGTACTCCTGCCTAGGTGACAGAGTACAGTGTGTCTCGAAACCAAACAAAACAACACCCAGTCAATCTTGTCAAATAGTTACTTCTAGCAATGCTAATTCAATCCATCTAAAGTTTCAAAGAAGACTTTAAGGTGATCATCCCATTTCACTGTCAGTAGAATTATCTAGTCTAATATGCATTCAATTTAAGCTCAAATTCTTTTTTGAAATACATACCACCCAGTCCCTGGCATTTCGGTTTTTTGTTTTGTTTTTTTTTTTTTTTTTGAGGCAGAGTCTTGCTCTGACACCAGGCTGGAGTGCAGTGGCACAATCTCGGCTCAATGCAACCTCCGCCTCCTGGTTCAAGTCATTCTGCCTCAGCCTCCGAGTAGCTGGGACTACAGAAGCAGGCCACCATGCCTGGCTAATTTTTGTATTTTTTAGTAAAGATGGGGTTTCGCCATGTTGGTCAGGATGGTCTTGATCTCTTGACCTTGTGATCTGCCGCCTTGGCTTCCCAAAGTGCTGGGATTACAAATGTGAGCCACCGTGCCTGGCCGGCATTTCAGTTTAAAAGCAAAAGCTCAGTGGAAACAGCAGGTACTGGAGTTATAAAAGTACAAAAATTAGCCAGTGTGTTTGTGTGCACCTATAGTTCCAGCCATCAGGAGGCTGAAGTGAGAGGATTGCTTGAGCCCAGAAGGCAGAGGTTGCAGTGACCCGAGATTGTGCCAATGCACTCTAGCCTGGGCAATACTGCCAGACCCTGTCTCAAAAAAAAAAAATTATATGGGGGTATGAGGAACCCAGAACAGAATAAAGCAATCTTGAAAATGAAGAGCAAATTTGAGGACTCATAGATTCCAATTTCAGAACTTACTACAGGCCAGGTTTGGTGGTTCATGCCTATAATCCCAGCACTTTGGGAGGCCAAGGCGGGCAGATTACTTGAGGTCAGGAGTTTGAGACCAGCCTGGCAAACAAGGCGAAACGCCGTCTCTACTAAAAATACAAAAAAAATTAGCTGGGGATGGTGGCGCACACCTGTAGTCCCAGCTACTCAGGAGGCTGAGGCAGGAGAACTGCTTGAACCCGGGTGATGGAGGCTGCAGTGAGCTGAGATTGTGCCATTGAACTCCAACCTAGTTGAAAGAGTAAGATTCTGTCTCAAAAAAACCTTACTACAAAACAGTAGTAATCAAGATAGTGTGATATTAGCAAAAAGATAGACATATACCTAGAATTGCAAGTTCAGAAATAAACTCATATCTATGGTCAATTGATTTTTTTATTTTTTATTTTGAGATGGAGTCTCATCCTGTCACCCAGGTTGAAGTGCAGTGGCGTGATCTCGGCTCACTGCAACCTCTACCTCCTGGGTTCAAGCGATTCTCCTGCCAGCCTCCCAAGTAGCTGGATTCCAGGCACGTGCCACCACACCCGGCTAAGTTTTTTGTATTTTTAGTAGAGACAGTGTTTCATCATGTTAGCCAGGCTGGTCTCAAACTCCTGACCTTGTGATCTACCCTCCTTGGTCTCCCAAAGTGCTGGGATTACAGGCGTGAGCCACTGCACCTGGCTGGTCAATTGATTTTTTAGTAATTGCTTATTAAAACAAAAAGCCCACATGCAAGCATAAGGCCAATTGTTTTTTCAAAAGGATGCCAAGACCATTTAATGGTCAACTAATGGTGCTGGGATAACCAAGTAGCCATATGCAAAAGAATGAAGTTGGACCTCCTACTTACACTGTATGCAAGTAAAAAATACACTTTTAGACAAAGCCTAGATTAAATTCCAGCCCTGACACTGGAAACCTGGGTAGATTTCTTAATCCCTCCTTCCCTCCACTGTAGAAGGCATACAATAGTTGTGAAATTTTCTAGTGATTAAGTGAAACATATCGGAGGCAACTTTCTCTGCATTAATCTTTCAGACACATATTTTTCCCCAAAAAAGCTACTCTGCAAGGGTGGAAATTCAAAAAGCTATTCTTCAAGGTACAAGTGGCTCTATCAGTATGCTTGGTCATTTTTTAAATACAAGCTTTATTGAAATGCTTGGTCAATTTTGTCTCCATTAAAATTCTTGCCAAACTGTACTGCTGTCTTTATTAGACAATTAAGATGTAATTTAACATTTTCTAATACAAGGCAATATAAAAGTGAAAGAAAAAAAAGCTTTCAAACCAACAGTGATATGGATAGTATTGAACTATAACTGATACGGCTCGCAAAATTACCTTCAGTTCTCTTTCTGGGTAGCGACTGATCTAGTGATCTCGTACAAGTTGTATAAAATTTATATACTATCTCAATAACTCCCTTTATACAAATGGAGAGACCTTTATTTCTCTGGGGTAATACTCTAAGATGAAAGCTATAACTGACTCATGATTTCATATCAGGACACAAGGAAGAACATGAATGGCCCAATTTTCACACGGTAATAACAAGATCTTACATGTGTATAACAACTATTCTGGAGTGCTTTCCACATCACGGATGTGGCTCATGCCATGATAATTGAATAAGATAGAGCAGATCTCACTCAGACAGGCTAAGCCTTGACAAGTCTGGTTGAGAAACCTCTTGGGAAGAGGATAAAAGACACACAACACAGTTGGTTTGCTACTCAACTCATGCAAGACTCAGTATTATAATTCAAAAATCACTCAATTTAGTTAATACTTTACTCGGAATCTACCATGTACAGTCACTGACCTAGGTGAGTGAGAATTCAAAAGAAATATTACACGACAGTCTTTGAACTTAAACCCAGTTTCTCTATTTTCTTATGGTATCAAGACAAAATAGTTAAGTGTATGGAAAAGACAAGCATCTGGGTTTTTTCATAAGCCCTCCTTCCCTCCACTATAGAAGGCATACAATAGTTGTGAAATTTTATACTGATTTAGTGAAAACATAACTTGTAGAGTTTAGAAATAATAGAGCTGTGTATTGGAAATGTTTCTGGAGCAGGCAGGATTGAGCAAAGTATAATTTAGATTGGTGGGGGTGGGCATGGAAGAGGGCAGGTGAGTGGGAAGAAGTAACGAAGGGCTCACGTTCGTAATTTCAGTACTTTGGGAGGCCGAGGCAGGCAGATCACAAGGTCAGGAGATCGAGACCATCCGGTCAACACGGTAAAACCCTGTCTTTACTAAAATACAAAAAATTAGCCGGGTGTGGTGGCGGGCGCCTGTAGTCCCAGCTACTCTGGAGGCTGAGGCAGGAGAATCGCTTGAACCTGGGAGGTGGAGGTTGCAGTGCGCTGAGATTTTGCCACTGCATTCCAGCCTGGTGAAAGAGTGAGACTCCATCTCAAAAAAAAAAAAAAGTAGTAACGAAGGGAGCTTTGGATAGACAAGGGGAATGTGTCCAGGACCATGAAGGGGCACACCTCTGCTGTTCCTTTTTCCCAACACCTGCCACTTACTGACAATCTCTTGGTCTTTGTGAGCCTAGTTTACCAGGTCTTCCTCTCTTTTGAAGGCTTCCAAAGCCCTCCATCAAGACTAAGGTCTCCTACCTCTGTCCTCCCCAGCATGGTACGTATGCCCCTTCCATGGCATTTACTTCATTCCATCTTCAGTGAAAGTTGCTTACGTGTCAGTTTCCCCAACTAGGTCTCCCTTTTCTTAAGGACAGGGCTGATCTTATTCATCTTTGTATCCCCTCCCACTACCAGTGCCCAACAAAATTGTTGACACAAAGTTGCTATGTGTTAAAAAAAATGTTTTTTTCATTGAATTGAATGGGAGCTAAAGTAGGATAAAGTGGAATCAAATTATACATAGGAATATAGGTCAGAGTTCATTCATTCAGTAAATATTTATTGAATGCTTACTGTGTGCCAGGCCCTGTTCCAGGCTCTGAGGATATATCTATGAACAAACCAGCTAAAAACCACTGCCCTTGTGCAGCTGAAACTCTAGACCGTAAGGGATGGGATTAGCAATCAATTTGTGTAAATTCAACCATACCTCTTAGAAAAAGACACATGCCCATAAATTAATGCTATAAGAATCTACTCTTGACACACAGTTTGTATTTTTGTACTTAATATAAGCAAAATGTGTTCATACCTACATATAACTCTGATGGAATTTAAACTTTAAGACTACAAAGAGAACTTTATTGGTAACTTAGGAGATTTTCAAGGACCATTTTGAGCATGCTCGATTTAGTCCTTAGGCAAGGCCTTTAAAACCTAACCACCTTACAAGTTGTGACTCCACTGTACCAAAATGAAGACCCTGAGACTTTTGGGCAAAAGAACCATTTTAAGTATTTGAGCATGAGAATGATGACAGGATGATCCACGTTCTCTCAGATTAATCTGATAACAAGGAACAAGAAAGAGTACATTCATATGAATATACATGGTCAGCAACAGTGGAATTCACATAAGAATTTTTTAAAAACCAAACCAGTTCAAGACATGTCCCATTCTTTTAAGACAATTAAAACAGTAAGAGCTCAATGTCATAAACATTTATAAGCAACTCCTGAGTATAAAATCCAAAGGAAAAGTTCTTAACATAACTGGCTTTCGTATGACTAAAGTTTATCATTTTCATATATTTTTCAGAGTATTAAAAAGGAATGCCAAGAGAAACCATTTTTAATTTTTGTAATAATTTTACTCTATATACATTATTACCAATCATTTAACCCTACAATAATCTTCACCAACACAATGTAAAAAAGTTTTTCACAGTAAACGACTAGAAATATTGCATTACCATAAAGCTACAAAGAGATTCATGCTCCTAAGAGCAAAGTTAGGAAAACAAAAAAATAACAATTAAGCCAGTGATGATAAGCACCAAGACAGAACTTTTTTTGCACTTAGGGCCTGATTGGTTATATTTAAACATAACTTCTACATTAGAGGGCCAAAATAACACCTTATAATAATGGCCAAAAAAAAGATAAAAATACACAAATACATACAAAGGTCTAGAAAGAGTGAAGAATGCCCACTTTAAAAATAATAAAACCAATCATACTCATTTTTAAATTAATCTGACATTTGTAAAATATATTTATATGTCACTTGTCTTCCTTCTTAGGTCACTTTATACAATTGAGATTGCTCCATTTTTGTTCATCAGTTGTCAAACTAAAGTAAACAAATATGTTAAATTATGTAGGTTTGCTTTAATGAATCCAAACCATGAGAGCTAGATCTAATAGCTCCAGCAATCTTCCTTGCAACTCACTCCAACTGGTGAAACAGATTATTTATCTTTATAATTTTAAAAGCCTTAGCCAGGTGTGTGTGTGTGTGAGAGAGAGAGAAGAGAGAGAGAGAGAGTAGAGAGTGTACAAGTTTGCCAGAGCACTGTGAGACAGTGAGTACCACCCAGAAAGAGGTGAGACACACAAACAAGTTTCACACAATGGTCCAACTAACCCCTCAAAAGACTTGGGCAGTCAGACACTGAGTTACCCTCAAAATAAATCTGAGGCTGACCAATGGGGGAACCAGAGGATCTGTCACACAATTGAAGAGTCAGTGACAGGTTTGGAAAACAAAAACCAAGTAGGATGTCTCAGGCACAGCATTCCTGTGACACTGGAGGACACCAAGGAACAATAGCCACTTTTTAAATAGGGATAAGGGACTGGGATCCCCTCGGTCTACAGCTGAAGGTCCATGGTACTTCCCAGAGGGCACTTCAGCAGGCTCTGGAGGTGGCCCTCCACATTACCCACTGGCAATGTCTTAGGGGACCCAGAGTGTGAACCTGGGCATCCCTCCTCCTGGTCCCAAGGGTGCTCCCAATACAATACTTTCCCTCCCGCAGGCTTGGCCAAAACCATCACTACCCTTTCACTTCCAACCCAGCTTCAGAACGGGAGTCTCCTGTCCTGTGGGGTCCCTGAGTTTGAGATAATGCCAAAATACTGGAGGCTATAGAGCAGTAACATGTGAAGTTAGGCAGTCACTTTAACATTTAAGCAATCTGCATGCAGTATTAGCCAGTTGTTATCTCAGTAACACCTGGTACCAAAATAGTTTTTCTATACAACTGAAAAACGACAAAGAAAAAAAATATTGCGGGAATATGAGAGAGACTTTTTAAAGTTCAGTGTTGAAACTCCTGATGGAAAAGAAAAGGAGACATTACTTTTCCATTCTCTATTTTCTGTCTGTGGCTTTGAGGTAAAAGAGCACTAAGGTTCCTGTGAAGTTATTTAAAGGTTCCCTCTGCCATTCCACCGGCACAACAACCCAGGGAATTCCTGAGCTGTCTACCTCCTAAATTTGTAATCATAACTCTGGGCATGTCTATACAGCTCTCTAGTGCAGTTTCAAAACCCACAGCATTTGGAAACAAAATGACACAGTTGCGTTCTTTAAATGCCAGCCATGAAATCATCACTTAAAAAAACAAAAAGAGACTAGATGGAATATATATATGTGTGTGTGGATGTGTGTGTGTTTGTGTGTGTGTGTGTGTGTGTCTCTCTCTCTCTCTCTCACTCTCTCTCTATATATATATATATATATACACATACACATATATAGAGACACACACATACTCTAGACGGAATATGTGTGTATGTGTGTTTACATACACCCTAGATGGAATATATCTATGCACTAGCTGTAATATATATGTATATATACACATATATATATATACACACACACACACATACGATGGAATACATATATATATATATATATATATATATATATATATCTCAAATAAAATTCTTTCATTTTTAAAGGTGTTTTATTTGGTATGTTAAAGACATGCCTATGACTCCTTCTAAAAGCCCTTGGCAGAAGCCTCCTATAGCATGCTGCAGTATGATATTTTGTCCCAACATTGTCATGTATAATTTGGTGAATTTCAGTCACACCCAAATAATCATCTAACCTGTTCGAACATGCAACTTCTCTTTTTATTCTCTGCAAAACTAAATTCCCTTCTTTACAAAATAATTAGATTTGAGGATCAAGTTAAAATGCACTATATTTCAATTAAACTTAGGCATGATTTTAAAACTATAGCATGATTTTAAAGTCATGTTGGCATTCACTTTTCTGTATTTTCCTATGTGTATCCTAAATAAATTTCCTGGACCATATTTAGTGAGAAATTACAAGAGTTTTACATTACACTGTGAAGTTCGAATAAATTCTCAGTTGATCAGGGTTCATCTCTTAGCTCAATGTCATACAACCTCTACATGACGCAAGCATATGACACAAAGGATTTTAAATACAAAACCCTTAGCTCTGTGTCATAAATAAATTTGGGTAAAAACGCAGGCCTTCCACTGAGTCATCACGGCAAAGATGGCCCATCTTCTCTGCAAGCAGCAACCTAAAACAAAAAACCCCACACAATTATCTGTCCATGCAGAAACACAAATACACATTACATTGTAATGAAAGGTAAGAACTTCACTAACCTTTCTTTTGCCAGGAGGACAGACATTCCCACGAGCTTAGCAGACTCTTCTGACGTTAGGGATCCCTTTGACGAAACCTAACAGAAACACACAGCAGAAAAAAATGTAATTCATGTAGGACACTAATTTAAACACACTCTGGGTACTAATAGTAGGCAGTTGATACCAGTATATGCAAGAAATAATTGACTTAATGTTCTACTAAATTCCAAAGAACATTCAGTTTAGAACTAATTCTTAACTAATGCTTAATCCTACAAAAGGTGAAGGACCCAGAAGAGACATAGAAGAGACTAAAATATCAAGATCAAGCTCCCTATAATGTAACAAAGTCACTGTACCAAAGCCTAAAAAGAACTGTTGGATATTCTGAAAAAGAATATATAACAAATTCTGAGTACATATTACATGCTGCAGTGAAGAAACTTTATACATAAACCTATGGTAGGTTTAAAACATGTGGTAGAAACAGCTGTAGTCTTGGGGTTTTCATCTAGTTGAAAATGAGAAGGATAATAAATGGGAGTTATTCAAATTATACAGGCTCAGCATAGAAGCTATAAACACAGTACTATTTTAAATATCCTAATGAGTAATATGGTAGTTTGGCCAGTAAAATCCATCTAAACTACTGTTGCTTTTTATATTTTTCGAAGCAATTATTTTCATAAAACAACTTGTGGTGTTTTACAAAGCTGCTTATCTAGGTGTTAATGGAAGAAAAACTTTAATTGTGTGTAACATCTGATAAAGTTAAAAATCTGTTCTCAACACTAAGCTTTAATCGAAAAGAAAGCACCTAATTTTAATTCTCCTTACATGTAAGATGTTAAGAGTGTCAAGAAATTTCAAAAAGCTCTTAATGTATGACTTTGGTTAATATAGATTCATTGTTAGTGATAAACCGTTTTTATTTGGGTGTGTGATGCTACTTTTCAGTAAAGTTAAATTCAAAAGGAAATCCTGCTTTTTGAGTTGCAAGACTTTGGGTCTTCGTAGCTTTAAAGACTGGAAAAAATTGGCTTCACGTACTGTCTCCAGGGCTGAGGCCACCATTTCCTCTTCCTTGTGAGACTGAAGCTCAATCACCATGACGCCACTGTCAAACACATGGAGCCTGAAAACACAGGTGTGAGAACAAAGCAAGGAATTATCTAGGATATTCAACCGCTGAGAAGAAGCACATCTTCTTTTTTTTAAGATGGAGTTTCACTGTTGTTGCCCAGGCTGGAGTAAAATGGTGTGATCTCAGCTCACCACAACCTTCGCCTCCTGAGTTCAAGTGATTCTCCTGCCTCAACCTCCCGAGTAGCTGGGATTACAAACATGCGCCGCCATGCCCGGCTAATTTTGAATTTTTAGTAGAGACAGGTTTCTCCATGCTGGTCAGGCTGGTCTCAAACTCCTGACCTCAGGTGATCTGCCCACCTTGGCCTCCCAAAGTGCTGGGATTACAGGCATGAGCTACTGTGCCCGGCCAGGAGCACATCTTTTAAACCGTTTTTTTTTTTTTTTTTTTTTTGAGACAGAAAAAAAACAATTCGCTCTTGTTGCCCAGGCTAGAGTGCAATGGCATGATCTTGGCTCACTGCAACCCCTACCTCCCAGCTTCAAGCAATTCTCCTGCCTCGGCCTCCTGAGTTGCTGGGATTAGAGGCATGCACCGCCATGCCCAGCTAATTTTGTATTTTTGGTGAGACAGGTTTTCTCCATGCTGGTCAGGCTGGTCTCAAACTCCTGAACTTAGGTGATCCACCCGCCTGGGCCTCCCAAAGTGTTGGGATTACAGACGTAAGCCACTGTACCTGGCCGCCTGGCTACCTTTTCAAACCAAAGAATAAGGAAAAGAAAATTCACAGCTCAACATCTCCAGAGACTAACACAAAATGTCTAAGGGAAGAGGGGCTAGTATTCTAATCTCATGGGCAGAACCACACCCTATCTCATTCCCCCAAATCCATAAGAGTCTGACTACTGGTCCTGTAAGAACATGCCCAGCCCTGATAAAGATGAAATAATATAATTGCAAGAAGGCAATATACTGGCTTGACACTAGGGATGGCAAACTTGGCTGGCCTTTCCCATCTACCCCATGCAGAATCAGGGTTGCAGGTGGCAAATTTCCTGCAGAGGTTCCTTTACCTGAGAGGTAATTTCAGTGCTTCCAGCATTTTGCATGCATTCACTAAATCTTCAGGTGAGAGCAACTAAGAGGGAAAAAAAATTCCAGTAATGCTATACAATTGTAATGATCACTAAAACAGAAGAGTAAATTTTAAAATTTTTATCAATAATTTTATGTGATTTAATCACTGCAAAGCAAAAAAGATTAACAAAGGAGCCAAAGACTTCTATTCGTTAAAGTAGTACTACCCAATCAAATCTGCATGCCACATGTTATTGTAAATTTTAAATTTACCACATTAAAAAGTAAAAAGAAACATGTGAAATTAATTTTAGTGCATATATTTTATTTAGTCCACTAGATTGAATATAGAACCAATGTAACATATAAACAATACAAAAAATTACTAATGAGATGTTTAACATTTCCTTATTTTATACAAAGTCTTTTCAATCTGGTGCATTTTACACTTGCAGCACATCTTGATTTGGATTAACTACATTTCAAGTCCCCAGTCACCATGTGATGTGGCTATCTTTTTGGACAGTGCAGCCTTAACAAATCAGCATAGTGTGGTGATAACAAGCATAGCTTTCAGTCCCAAAGGCTGGCTCCAAAGCCAGTCCAGCCTAGATCCAAATACCTGTCAAACCACTGTCTCTGGCTATGGGCTTGCTCAAGTTATTTCATCTTTCCATTTTTTTTTTTTTTTTTCCTTGAGACAGAGTTTCACTCTCGTTGTCCAGGCTGGAGTGCAATGGCACAATCTCAGCTCATTGCAACCTCTACCTCCCAAGGTCAAGCAATTCTCCTACCTCAGCCTCCCAAGTAGCTGGGATGACAGGCATGGGCCACTATACCCAGATAATTTTTTGTATTTTTAGTAGAGACAGGGTTTCACCATGTTGGCCAGGCTGGTTTCAAACTCCTGATCTCAGGTAATCCACCCGCCTTGGCTTTCAAAGTGTTAGGATTACAGGCGTAAGCCACTGCGCCTGGCCAAGTTATTTCATCTTTCTAAGCCTCAATTTCCTAATCTCCAAATTATCCCCTACATGGGACAGTAAGAGCAGCCATGTCACTGAGTTATTGGGAGGATAAACGTGTATGTGCAGAGTGTCCAGTGGATGGTAAGTACTCACTGATGGCAGCTATGATCAGTATTCAGATAAAAACACAGAGCAGGGCTTAACTCATGGGACTGGGTGAGCCATTTGCATGGAGGTAACTGTTTGGGCACAAAGAGTACCTGGACAGTCTTGGAGGCCAAGGACACCTGGACATAAAGGAGCAAGGGCAGCTGAAGAATAGCCACTGCTGATACACAGCCAAAGGGGCGGGGCAGCTTTCCCTCTGCATTATCTACAAGGCAACTTGTTCCAACCAAGTTGGTTCAGAAGAGTTAACTATTGCAAAGGAAAGGCTTCCTGAACAGCCTTATTTATCACAATAAAAACAGAAAATATTAGAGCTGAACAGTTTCACTCAGTCGAAATCCTGATATTAAAAGTAAGAAAACTGGGTCCCTAAATGCTGGCAAGGACGTGGAGAAAGGAACTCTGACACACTGTTGGTGGGAAGGTAAATTAGTGCAGCCATTATGGAAAACAGTATGGCGATTTCTCAAAAAACTGAAAACAACTATCACAAGACCCAGCAATCCTACTGCTGGGTATACATCCAAAAGAAAGGAAAGGAGTATATGGAAGAGAAATCTGCACTCCCATGTTTATTGCAGCACTATTCACCATAGCCGACATCATTTGCAACAACAGGGATGGAACTGGAAGACACTGTTAAGTGGAGTAAGCTAGCACAAAAAGACAAATATCCCATGTTCTCACTCATATGTGGGAGTTAAAAAATGGATCTCATGCAGATAGAGAGTAGAAAAATGGTTACTAGAGGGTAGGAAGAGTAGTGGGGAAGGAGGGATGAAGAGAGGTTGGCTTAATGGGTACAAAAATACAATTAGAAGGAATAAGAGGCCAGACGCAGTGGCTCAAGCCTGTAATCCCAGCACTTTGGGAGGCTGAGGTGGACAGATAACATTATATGCTTTATCATATACAACGTGGTGAAACCTCATCTCTACTAAAAATACAAAAATTACCCAGGCATGGTGGTGGGTGCCTATAATCCCAGCTACTCGGGAGTCTAAGGTAGGTGAATCACTTGAACCAGGGAGGGGGAGGTTGCAGTGAGCCGAGATTGCACCACTGCACTCCAGCCCGGGCAACAAGAGCGAGATTCCGTTTCAAAAAAAAAAAGTGACAGAGGAATAAGATTTAGCATTCAGTAGTACAATAGGGTAACTATAGTTAACAATAAAGTATTGTAGCTTTTTTTCTTTTCTTTTTTTTTTGAGACAAAGTCTTGCTTCTTTCGCCCAGGCTAGAGTGCAGTGGTACAATCTCAGCTCACTGCAACCTCCGCCTCCTGGGTTGAAGCAATTCTCCTGCTTCAACCTCCCAAACAGCTGGGACTACAGGCGCATGCCACCATGCCTGACTAATATTTTGTATTTTTACTAGAGATGGAGTTTCACCATGTTAGCCAGGATGGTCTTGATCTCCTGACCTCATAATCTGCCTGCTTTGGCCTCCCAAAGTGCTGGGATTACAGGCATGAGCCACCGAGCCTGACCTGTATATTTCTTTTTTTTTTTTTTAATTTATTTGTTGAGATGGAGTCTAGCTCTATTGCCCAGGCTGGAGTACAGTGGCACAATCTCAGCTCACTGCAAACTCCACCCCACAGGTTCAAGCGATTCTACTGCCTTAGTCTCCCAAGTAGCTGGAATTACAGGTGCCCCCCAACCATACCCAGCTAATTTTTGTATTTTTAGTAGAGACAGTGTTTTATCATGTTGGCTAGGGTGGTCTTGAACTCCTGACCTCAGGTGATCCGCCCACTTTGGCCTCCCAAAGTGCTGGGACTACAGGTGTAAGCTACCACCTCTGGCCTTATTGTATATTTTAAACTAACTAGAAAAGTGGAATTGGAATGTTCCTAACACAAAGAAGTGATAAATCCTGGAGGTGACAGACCCTCAATTTCCCTGATTTGTTCATTACACATTATATGCTTCTATCAAAATTTCACATGTACCCCATAAATATGTACAATCATTATGTATCCATAAAAAATAAAAATAAAAATTTGGGGGCCAGGCCTAGTGGCTCATGCCTGCAATCCCAGCACTTTGTTTGGGAGGCCAGGGTGGCTAGATCACCTGAGGTCAGGAGTTCAAGAGCAGCTTGGCCAACATGGTCAGAACCCTGTCTCTACTTAAAGCATGAAAATTCTCCTGGTGTGGTGGTGCACCCCTATAATCCCAGCTACTTGAGAAGCTGAAGCACAAGAATTGCTTGAACCCAGGAGGCAGATGTTTCAGTGAGCAAAGATTGTGCCACTATGCTCTACAGAGTGATACTCTGTTTCAAAAATACAAAACAAAAAATTTAAATATTAAAAAAAATGCTGTATATATATACAATGATATATATTCAGCACAAAACATAATAAAACCCTGTCATGTGCAGCAACATGGATGAACCTGGAGGATATTACATTAAGTGAAATAAGCCAGACATAGCAAGACAAACATGACTTGATTTCACTTATATGTAGACTCTAAAAGAAGTTGATCTCATAGAAGTAGCGAGTGGAAGAGTGGCTACCAGAGACTGGGGAGGGTAGGCAGGAGAAGGGGATGGAGAGAGATTGGTCAACAGAAAGAAAGTTACAGTTAGACAGGAAGCATGAGTTCTGCTGCTATATTACACAGGGTGACTAGATAATGACAATGCAGTGTATATTTCTTTTTTTTTTTTTTCTGTTTCTGAATACCATGATTTTTTTGTTTTTTGTTTTTTTTTTTAGATGGAGTCTTGCTCTGTCTCCCAGGCTGGAGTGCACTGGCACAATCTCAGCTCACTGCAACCTCCACCTTCCCGGTTCAAGCAATTCCCCTGCCTCAGCCTCCTGAGTAGCTGGGATTACAGGAACACACCAGCACTCCTGGCTAATTTTTTTTGTATTTTAAGTAGAGACCAGGTTTCACCATGTTGGCCAGACTGGTCTTGAACTCCTGGCCTCAGGCAATGCTCCCGCCTTGGCCTCCCAAAGTGCTGGGAATACAGGCATGAGCCACCAAGCCCAGCCCTGAGTACTTTTTATTGATACATAATATTTTACATATTAATGGGGTATAGGGGTTATTTGTATTAATACACATGCATAAAATGTGTAATGATCAAGTCAGGGTATTTGGGGTGCCTATTACCTCAAGTTTTTATCGTGTCTATGTGTTAGGAACATTTGAAGTCCTCCCTTCTGGCTACTTTGAAATATACAATACATTGCTGCTTCCCTCCTCTGCTACTGAATATCAGAACTTATCTAACAGTATGTTTGTACCCATTAACCAACCTTTCTTCTTTCTTCCCTGCTCCCACTTATATACCTTTCCCAGTCTCTGATATCTATCATCTATTCTCTACCTCCATTAGAATGAGTGGGAACATGCACTATTTGTCTTTCTGTGTCTGGCTTACTTCACTTAACATAATGACTTCCAGTATCTCCATGTTGCTGAAAATAATGTGATTTCATTCTTTTTTTTAATTACTGAATTGTATTCCATTTGTATGTATCTGACATTTTCTTTATCCATTCATCCACTGATGGACACTTAGGTTGATTCTTTGTTTTTTTAAAAAAACGTTTATTTCACATTGGGGATACATGTGAAAGTTTGTTACACAGATAAAATCATGTCACTAGGGTTTGTTGTACAGATTATTACATCACCTAGGTATTAATATTAAGCCCAGTACCCAATAGTTATCTGTTTTGCTCCTCTCCCTCCCTTAAGTCTCCATCCTCAAGTATACTCCAATGTTTGCTGTTTGCTTCTTTGTGTTCATAAGTTCTCATCATTTATCTACTACTTATAAGTGAGAATATGGGTATTTGGCTTTCTGTTCCTGCACTAGTTTGCTAAGGATAATAACCTCCAGCTCCACCCCATGTTCCAACAAAAGAATTATCTTGGCCGGGCACGGTGGCTCACGTTCC